TCAACAGAGGCAGGAGCAGCCTGGAGATCTAAGGAAGAGCGGGAGAGATGCTAACAACAGGGAAAAAGACCTGACAAGGTTAGGGAGAGAGGAAGGGAAGGAAGGAGGGAGAAGGAGGGAGGGAGGGAGGGAGGGAGGGAGAGAGAGGAAGGGAGGGAGGGAGGAAGGGAAAGAGGGAGGGAGGGAGGGAGGGAAAGAGGGAGGGAAGGATGGAGGGAGGGAGGGAGGGAAAGAGGGAGGGAGGAAGGGAGGAAGGGAGGAAGGAGGGAGGGAGGGAGAAACACCCATATCTCCAGCATGAGGCGCAGGGTGGGGGTGGGGGTGGGGGTGGGGGTGGGGGTGGGGGTGGGGGGGGGGGGGATGGAACAGATGGCCCAGGTTCCTACACGGGGTCCCAGCTCCCTCCTGCAGACATGGGCTCAGATCAGCTTCCACCGAGCAGAGGAAATGAAATGTGTGACGTCAATTGATAAAGATCTTCTAACCGAAGAAGAAATATGTACAGAGGCATGTTTCCCCACTCACAGGGGCATTTCTGCGCAAGGAGATGTCAACCCCGGGCCTTGACTGGGGGAGGGGAGTGAGGGGGGCGGGGAGTGAGGGGGGCGGGGAGTGAGGGGTGGCAGGGAGCCTCGTCCCAAGGGAGAGGAGCTAAGCTGACCAAACAGGGACTTCCCTTGGGCAGCCCTGCCTGCACCCAAGGCTGCCCCAGCTTCGAGGACTCTTCCCCCCGAGTCAGCGAACTGGCTCTGGGTCGCCCTGAGAGCTGACCCCTGCGCCGGGAGGCTCAGGCCAGCAGGTGCGAATTCAGAGCACGCACGGGGTCCACGCACTCGTTCACTGCCTCCCCGGGGGGAAGTCTTGTTCTCTCCACCTCGGAGGAGGCGCTCCGAGCAGAGGCGGCCAGGTGACTTGGCAGGTTCAATGCAAGAGCAGAGATCCCTATCCCAACAGTGGCTCTGCCGCCGCGCGGAGTAACCGGCCTCTCCCACGCGCAGGCCTCCGGAGAGGCTGACTGCCACAGGGGCCCAGAGAGCCGCAGAGCATGCAGACACAGGACAGGAGCACACCCTCTGGGGACCTGGGCGCTTCCCTCCAGGCCGGACCCACACCCCAGGGGCCCCTGCTGTGCAGATTTGACTCCAGGAACTGTGGGTGCAAAGGGTGTGCCCAGGACGAATTCAACCAGGGTTGGGGTTTAACTTCCTCAAAACGAAAACAAAAGAAGGGGGTTGTGCCTGCAGGGCCAGAGGAGGAGCAGGGCAGGAAACAGGGCTGGTCCAGGCGAGCTGGTATCTGCTTCCTTTGCGGACATCTGGTCAACTTTCTGGCCTTACAGAGCAGAAGATTCCAGGGCATGTGCCCTTGACCTCTATCAGTCACCCTCCCAGAACTGATTCAGTGAAGATAACTCAATGGAGAGAAGAGGATGTGGCTTCAATCTGAACCCTGGCACCGCAAGAGCCCTCACACCTCCCAGAGAGACGGGCCACATTCCCCCAGGAGCCCACAGAGCCCTGGGAACGGCTCACCAGTTCCTCAATGACTGGCCCAGTTTCATCCATGACTCTAGGACCAGCTGTCCATCAGTGAGTGCCCGCCCCACCCTGGGCGCCGCAGTATCCTCTCCTTGGACTTCCGCAGCCACCTCTCAGGGATGCCACCGTTATTTCGGCTGCAGCTCAGAAACATGACATCACAGACCCAAGATCAGGTGGCTCCTAACTGGTAGAGCCAGGGTTTGCATCTCGAGCCCCAATCGAAATAAAACGGAAGCAGGAGCCGAAACCGGTTTGGCTCAGTGGTAGAGCGTCAGTCTGCGGACTGACAGGTCCCAGGTCTGCGGACTGAAAGGTCCCAGGTTCGGGCATGTACATTGGCTGCGGGCACATCCCGGTAGGGGGTGTGCAAGGGGCAGCTGGTCGATGTTTCCCTCTCATTGACGTTTCTAGCTCTCTATCTCTCTCCCTTCCTCTCTGTAAAAAAAAAATCAATTATATATATATATATATATATATATATATATATACACATATTTTTTTTTTTTTATTTTTTATTTATTTTTTTTTTTTTAATTAAACGAAAGCAGGAGAGTCTGAGATGCTGAGAATTTAACCCAGAGGCAGATGGCACGGGCACATGGGTTTCAGGTCTAGGGCAAGGCTGAGTATCATCTGTGTCCAATGTCTGCAAAGTGACCGTGGGAAATGACTGGCAGCGCCACTCGACGGCTGACCAGGGGCTCTGAGTGCCAGGTAGTCCAGGATGGAAAGTCTACCCGTGGGAGCCAGGTGGTGCCAAGTTCACTGGGTGATGCTTGTGCCTCTTATCACTTTCAAGGGCATCAAGGAAGGAGATACCTCTCTCTGGGGAGACTAATGTGCAAACACTTGGGAGATTAATAATGCTGCAGCAGCCCTTCCAAGTCTCCTCTACGCCTTCCCCCTGAGGACCAGTGCACAAAGGTTCAGAAAGCAGGCAAATGCCATCATCTCCCTTCCAAAGCCTTTCACATTCAACCCAGGTCCCACCACACTGTCCATCTGGAGAGGACGCTCAGTCCTACTGAGACACCTATGGATTAGGTCCTCGTTACCGGGACAGAAGGTGAGATCTGTCAGCAGCAAGGCCCCCACGAGGCCCCAGGGCCCCTGCAGAACTCTTGTTCCCTACAGGCCTCTGCTTGCACCACGGAGACTTGTCTGCTGAGAATCACGAGGGACAAATATGATTGATACGTGACCAACAGGGTCTCACACTCTAGGATCAAGGGGTTCAAAACCAAAACAACAGAAGAAGGAAAAGGCTACTGGGCATGATTCCCCTCTTCAAAAACTTGACAGTTGGTTAAAAAAAAAAAAGTCTTAGCAGCTACTGATGAGAACATTAAGTACGACCTTCTCAGACCTGCCAGACTGAGACACTTGCCATGTTCAGAACAGCGAGTCCCCTGGGACGGCAGCAGGCCCCAGGGCTCTGGGGCGAAGGGACAGGATTTCGAGGCTAGCGCCATCGCCATACAGGTTGTGTGACCTTGAGCAAGGTCATGTGACTCCTGTATGGCCACCACCCCCGATCGGATGGGGCGGTCCTCCTCTCCCGTGGTCCCTCGGGACAGCAGGGCTGCAGGGACCACGTGCTCTTTGACACGTGGGGGACAGATGACATGCAGCTTCCCCCCAGTGTCTAATGCTTTCTTTCTCCAAGGCAAATGCTGCTTAAGAGGCAAAAGGACTTAGCTTTGACATGTTTGCTCCAGGGAACGGTTCTGGGTTCCCAATCATATGGGACACGGGCAGAGGCCTCGAAGGGGAAGAAAAGAGAAGCATCCCACACTCTAGACCTGAGGGTACCTCCCTCTTCTTCAGTTCGTTAATAAAACTAAAAGCCATTCACTATCAAAACCCGGATGTAACTGCCACAGATCCCTCTGGTACCCCTTAATGGGCATAAATGTGGGGTGACACCGACCTCTGTGGGTCCGGGGCACCCAGGGGGGTCTGCTTGGTACACCCCTCTGGATCATAAACGCCCACGGAATTCCTCCATGTGGGTGACGCAGCCACAGGCCCTCGCCCCTTGCTAATCCCCCAGTGCTTCCCAGACGATTACTTCCAATCAGCTCAAAGCACACGCTGGGAAAACCCACGCCCAGGCCGCTGGACCGGTCTCACTCGGATGCTATCAGACGCCCGTAAGCAACAGCCTCAGCATATCACAGGCCACTGGGGCGGGTGGCAGGCAGACCGGAAGGCAGAGAGGTCTGACAGCAAGCCCTGTGCACACACACACACACACACACACACACACACACAGAGGCCATCCCGGCAATGAGCTGGGTGAGCGGGTGGCGCGTGCTAGACCTGCACTCGGGCGGTGGGCAGCCGCTCTGCGACCATGAGCGTGCACACCACTACCCGCTTCCCCCTCAGGCAGCCTGGGACCTCCGTGACATCACGCACGTAGGCCCTCCGGGGCAATGCTTGGAAGAGTCCGCACTGAAGATAAATCGGCTGCCCCCACCCCTCTGGAGAAGCACGTTATTAAAAAGGAAAAAGGAACTTGAAAGCGGTTTTTCAATCAAAGTCAGCTGGAGGGGAAGGCAGGGCCCCCATGGGGTCTGCTAAGTAGGATGTAATGAGTTAATGGGGGAACCAGGAATGGAACCCAGATGCCCAGCTTCCTGTCCAGCTGCCTCCTGCAATAACTTGGACCTTGGTGGGGCGGGGGTGCCGCGCAGCCGCCTCACCTGGAAGGCCGGTCCTCCCACGCTGTCGGTGACACACTCCTCTTTCCAGTCTTGGCCCCAGACTCCTCTCTCCTACAAACACCTCCCTGACTCTGCATCCAAGCTGGTGCTGCCACCCCCGCCCCCAACCCCATGGGACCCGCTACATCCCTTGGTTTAGGGCCTGTTCACCACCTTTGTGGTCAGTTGACTAGGAAATGTATCCTGCTATTCATAGCACTGAGAACTGTGACTAATACTATATCCTCAGGAAGTATCCATGAAAGGAGGGAATGAATGAATGAATGAATGAATGAATATTAAAGGACGGATGTCAGGCACTGAATATGCTGACAAGGATTTTGAAAATCTTGCCTCGTTCACATTGAAAACGCCACGCAGGCTGGCAGCCACCCTCAGAGTCCAGAACACCAAAACCACAATAATTAGCAGGTCACCGATACCCCGCACCTGTCCTCTGAGCACCTGATAGCACCTTGGGAGGAGAGGTGACTCATTTCCCACCTTAGGATAGTCACCTCTTTGTCCCTCCGAGCTTCCCCACCCCCAGACAACAGGCCGCAGGACAGCCTCCACCCGGCTCTCAGCACCCGGCTCTCAGCACCCGCTCTCAGCATCCCGCTCTCAGCACCCGGCTCTCAGCATCCCGCTCTCAGCATCCCGCTCTCAGCATCCCGCTCTCAGCATCCCGCTCTCAGCATCCCGCTCTCAGCAGGCTGCAGCTCGCGGTGTGGACGGAAATGAGACTCACCTCTCTTCGTCCTTGAAGATGAACTTCCGGAGCTTGAGGTCGCGCAGCACCAGCCCCCCATCGTGGCAGTGGGCCACGGCCGAGGCGATCTGGTAGAACAGTCTGGCCGCCTCCTCCTCCCTCAGCTTCTTGCACGTGCGGACGAAGGAGTGCATGTCCCCATAGCTGCGCTCGAAGAGCACGTAGGCCTTGGTCTCCCCCAGGATGATCTCGGTGATCTGGTTGATGTTGCTGTGGGCAGACAGGCAAAAGCAGGGCGCCAGGGACTCCTGGTAGCAGCTGATATCAAACACCTGGGACGGAAGGAACAGCAAGACCAGGAGTCAGGCAGAGGGGCTTCTTGGGCGGCCAATCACAGAATGTGAGCACCTCCCCCGGGGACCGGCTTCCAAGATGACATACGGTGTGCTGACCTTGAACCCCGAGCCCCCCTACCCCCCCGCCTGTGTCCTGCCAGCTGTGTGGCCTTGAAGAAGTCGCTGGACCTCTCTGGGCCTCCAAGACATCATGTGGAACAGGGGTAAATGCTATTTGGGAGTCCGATAGGAAGAAGTGACGGTAAAAAGTGTTTTGCAAGACAAAGAACTTACCACAAAAGCTCCGGTTTATTATTTTTCTCTCCCAATTGACTCTGCTGAAGAGGAATTAATGCAAAATTTGAGAACGACCTATCCCAAGCTACATAGGTAACCTACACCTTAGGTTCCTTGGGGGGAAGGGGGGAAAATAAAGAAAAGAAAAATGCACATGGGCACTATTCAGCTACCTGTGTAACCATTATAGACCACACACTTTGTCATATAGCACTACATGACACATCAGCAGCCACTAGACTGCATGCCCAGCTCCCACCCCTTCGCCTCACAGCGGGGGGATTGCAGCCTCCGAGAGCGAGGCCGCCCAGCCCCTGGCGGCAGGGCCGGGAACAGCCCGCCATCCTTGCTCCCGGGAAGGCAGGCAAGCTCCCTTCCCTCTCCCCTCCGTGGATGCCAGCTCAATGAACCAGTTATGCAATGATTTCCTCTGAATCAAAGCCAGCCTGTGCCATGCTGCCTCGTGGTGGGGTTTTCTTTCAGGAGAAAGTCCACCCTCCACGCCTTTTTGAAGCAGACAGGGGAGGCCGCAGCCTGCGGGGAGTCTGAGGGCAAACATACATACATACATACATACATACACAAACAAACAAACAAACAAACACAAATAAATAAATGGCTTCCATTCATCGGCAGCCCTCCCCTGAGCCAGGACCCCGGAGGAGCCCAGGGTCTGCAAGGTGGTTCCCCCATCTGCCTGGGAACTCAGGTTCCAGAAGCTACCCCCTGCCTGCAAGAGGTGGGGGCTGACGTGGGCGGGGCGCTTCCCTGGACAGCAGGATGGCTTCCTGTGATGGGCGCACCGTCATTTCACCTCTCCCAGTTTCTTTTTCCTGAATTAAAAGCTGCTCTCCCTCAGCAGCCTCTGGCAGAGCAGAAGGGGGAATGCTGGCCTAGAAATCACCGCATTGGGGCTCTGACCCTGGCTGGGCCTCCGCGAATCTGGGTGAGGTGGACGCTGAGCACGTAGGGTCCCCAGGCCTCCCCACGCTTCATCATCAGGAGATGCTGCTTTAGGACCCCATAGATCCCACAGGAGAGCCTGATCAATGCCTGTGTTCCCAAACGCGCCCGCGATGCCGGATTGACTTTACGAGAAGACACAGGCCTCCTGAACCCCGTCCCCGGCTGCAGGCTGCCACCTCGGCATCCAGGAGCGAAGCCGCTCTGGGCTTCACAGACTAAAACCTATGAATCACACAGGGTGAGCGAGCACCTCCTCGGCAGCGCCTGGGCGAGGAAGCACAGCGACTTTGTGAATGAACCGTCAGGAGCCATCTCAGGAAAGCCCTCGGTTTTAAGAATGAGTCCTCCAGCCTCTCCGGGGACCACAAATCACACTGTCAGAGGATGACCTCCGCGCGCTGACCCCGGAGGTCCATTCAATTAAGCATCTGCCATGCCTGAGTCAACTGGAACAGCCAGGCGGCAGGGGCAGGGACCCGGCGCCTCAGAAACTCCGAGGGCGGCGCTCTGCAGGGGCTCCTGCAGATCTGCGCTTACATAACCCGCGTGTCCGGCAGCCGCAGGCCCCGCGGCCCGAGCTCCTGCAGGTACGGTTCTTTACAATATCCTTCCCGTTTCAAGCGCATTTTTTTTTTAAATAAAAAGTGATTCTTTTGCTCAGGCCCTTTAGTCTGTGATCCTGCCCGAGGCCGAAACACTGGATGTAGATTTAAAAAAAAAAAAAAAAAAAGATTGAACATCTTCATGGCAGCACCCATGGGTAGCCACAGCCTTTGCAGAGGAGACCAAGTTCCAAGATGGTGGACAGAACAGAGAATGGGAAAGCAAGCCGGTGCTCACGTTTTCCCAAACGGGCAGCAACCAAACGTTTATTAGCAGCTATAACGGGCTTTTATGAGCTTGGATTGGTATTTAAACCATCACCTCCAAGTGCAAAATGGAGCCGTGAGCCTGCCTGGTTGGCAGCGGCTTTTGAATGCTTAATTTGGACCCTGAGGTATATAAAGTGACAGCTCAGATAAAGCAGGAAGATCGGGCCATCTTTAATAGCATTTGCAAAAAATAAAAATAAAAAAGGGGGGTGGGGGCAGCATTCTGCCAAGATGGTAGCATGTCCGTCTGCACAGTAACCACCAGCGCTTCCATGAAAGCCATAAGCTACAGGCCTTTAGAGGGCCCCTCCTCCCTCTGCTTCCAGCAGGCATGGGGACAAAAAGCGGGCTGGACTATTTGGCTTCAATGACCCTCCTCCCTGGCCTCCCCATCATGTCCCATAGAATTCTCCACACAGTCCTCTGCAAGAAGCGGCATCTTTACATTGGATCTGCTTTTGCAAATACTTCTTCCTTGGGTCAACACAGAGCTAGCTAGGACACAAGAACTCCAGGTTTTAAGACATCAAAAGGGGCGTCATCAATGCCTAGGTTTCCGCTCAGCCCGGCAGCAGGTGAAGCGCCCGCAGCACACACCTGAGGGGAGTTCACAGGAGCCGCCTGGAAACACCATGTAGAGCCCCCAGGCACACATCCCACACTCATTCCCCAACGCCGCTTGCATGAGCAGCCGCCCGTCACCCCTGGGAAGGAGGCAGGGACACAGAGGCTGCTGTGTCTTCCAGGGATGACCTCTGTGAGGCAGCACCATGATACTGCACTTAACTCCGCCGGCAGCCACACAGTCCCTGGCGAGGGGCTGCTTCAGTCTTTGCAATCGCAGGACCAGCAGCTTGAGGACAGCTGGGGGCCAGAGAGCAAGTCTGCAGAAGACACCACCGTGAGGTCAGTCAGCCCTACCATCTCGAAGAAACTGAACAGACAGAGCAGGGGCCCGAAGCACCTCTACTTTTTAAACAAAGAACTAACAGCAAAATGCAGCTGCGGAACCGGGGGGCAGAGTCCCCTTGCTTCACAGCACCCCCAGCCTTTGGGGGGAAAAAAACAAAACAGGGAAACTCCGAGCCCACGTTGAGCAGAAGCAGCAAAAGCGCTCGCTGCTGGGCGATGGGGCATATTTCATAGCGGAGTGGCAGTCTGAGGCATTCATTCATTTCACAGGATGACTACCCTATTGTGCAACGTGGCCGGCCTCCTGAGAACCCAGCCCGGCTCTCAATAGCCCACTGAGTTTTGGTTAACCAGGCGCAGTTGCTCTGGGTGTCAGTAACCCAGAAGATGCAAAATGCCAAATGCTCGGTGCAAGCAGAGAGCAGCATTGAAGAGTCTCTCCTTTCCCCGCTCCCCCCCCCCCCCCCCCCCCCGCAGCGATTGCAACACTGACTGGAGAGCCCACAAACCCCATGTTTTACAATGAAGCACTCCAGTCCCCCAGGAAATCAGGTCTGTGTTCATGGAAAAAGTGTCAGGCAATTCAAAGTCGGCAGCGGTCCCCATGCGTGATGCCGCCCCCCACCTCCCCGCTCTCCACCCCATCCCCCTGACCCCCAACCCCCACTCCCACCCGTGGGTGGGGGGAGAACAGTGAGCAAATCTAACATGAAGTGACCATGAGCTCGTGATCTATGTCCAATTCCTCGGCAGAGGTGCTCTAATGTCTTTTATTTTATTTTATTTTATTTTATTTTGCAACTATCCTCCTGCTCATCCACTGGTCTGGTGCCCCGTGGATGCCTACAAAGACACAGACACACATGCGCAAGCCAGCCGCTGCTCAGGGTCAAAGACAAAAAGGAAACTGTAGGGTCCAGGGGGTCCATCTCTGCATTGGGGAGAATATCCACCCCTGAGGCTGCAAACCTTGCAGGCAAAGGGGTCTGGGGGGAGGAAGGGGGCAGGGGCTGGGGAGAGGGGCAGCGCCAGGGGCCCTCCAGCAGGAAAGTCTGGGGATGAGAAGACACAGACACCAGCCAGGGCCCCAGAGGAGTCACTGCTTCCTGCGCCCGGAGGGTGCGGGCGGGCGGGCGGCTCTGATTTCCACCCACAGGCTCCTCTGAGGCTCCAGGCGGAGGAGAGCTCCCGGCGGGCCCCCGGCGCAGCCGGAGGGGACACCGCTGTGCGTCCCGGAGAGGGCACCTCGGAACAAAGCGCCAGCACCTGCACGCTGCTCCGAACAAAGGCTGCGAGAGGACCCCGTCCTCGGCGCCTGGAAATGAGCTGGGGGCTGGGGATTCCCTGCTCCCGGCTGCAAGGGGAGGGGGCGAGGCACCCGGAGAAATCCTCCCCGGGGCGCTGGGGCGCAGGGGCGCACAGGGAGGCGCTCCACGAGCCCCTGGGGCCACGCGTGCCCGGGGCCCCGGCCAGGTCCCGCCGCCCCCGCCGCCCCGGGCTTTCCCACGCCGCCCCCGCCGCAGCCTCCCCATTGTCTGCAGCCGGAAAACTTCACCACGAGCCGCGGGAGCAAATAAATTCAGAAACCCCTTTGGCCAGGCTTCGGGTCTCACCCGGAGACCCTCCCTGCCTCCCCCAGCCTCCAGGCCCGGGACCTCCCGCCCCCCGCCGGCCCCCTCCCGGGGCCTGGCAATCTTTTTGCAAAAACAAAAACACAACAACAAACAAAACCAACAAAGCCCAGCCCGGGCTTACCTTGCACACCAGCTCGGCCCCGCTGTGCAGATGCAGGGCGCGGAAGACGCGGTCCCCCTCCAGCGGCTCCAGCAGCAAGTACCTCCCGATGCAGGACACGCAGTGCGACAAGTTGGGGGTCTCGGGCGGGCTCGGGGAGCCGAGGTTCGGGCTGAAGCTCTGGCTGGGCTCGGCGGACCTTATGGACGACGACAGCTCCTCGAAATCCTGGGTTTTGTTCCGCGATCGCCCATGCCTCGCTATGGTGATGGGGGTGGACCTGTGTATGTTCATGGGTGTGGGGGGGCCGCGCGCCCGGCCGCCGGCGCACCAACACCCGCCGCCGGGGGACGAGTCCGAGTCGCTGGCGAGCGAGGCTGTGCAGGCGCCTCGGGGCCAAGGATGATGTTAAAAGCGGGCGCGAGGGGAGGGATGCGGCGGGAAGGGGGCCACGCGGGGAGAGAGTTCGGGGTCCCCCCGAAAGGGTGCAGCTGGGCACCTGGTCTGCTCCGAGAGCCCGGCGCCGGGGCGGGGGGCTCTGGCTCGGTCGGCAGCGGCTCGGGTCCTTTTGTTCCCCCCGAAGCGGCCGGCGGGGTGCAGGATCGCCGCGCTTTTTCAGTTTCTCTCTCCCTGGGTCTCCGACGCGGGTCCAGGCGAGGAGCCGGGCGGCTAACGGGGGAGCTGCGGCGCCGTGTCCCCCGGAGCGAGCCCCGCGCGGGCTGCGGGCGTGCAGGCAGGCGGGTCGGAGGCGCCCGGCTCGCTCGGGTCGGTGCGGTCCTCGGGGAGCGCGGCGGCCGCCACTCTCCCTCCGCGCGTTGGAGACGCGAAAAGAGAGAAAGGAAACCGGCTCGGGGCTCCCGGCTCGCGCCGCGCGGCAGGCGGACTCCGCGCTGCACCCCCTTTTTTGGTGGAAAGGGTGGGGGGCGTGGAAGGGGGGGAGGATGCCGGAGAGGGGAGTGATCTACGGTTTAACTGTAGATGGCGTCTGAGGCTTTTCCAAGATCGCAGGAGCTCTCCCAAGAATTAAACAAACAGACCGGGAGGAAAAAAAGAAGAAGAAAAAAAGCCAGGGAGCATTTCACTCGGAGCGGCCGGCGCTGCCAACAAAAGATTGCAAAGCGGGGCGCGCAGGGCGGCGCGGGCGGGCCGGCCGCCGTCAGCACCGGCTCATGCCGCCGCCGCTCCCGCTGCTCCGGACGGTCCTCCGAGGAGAGGGGGGAGGCGTGCGGGCAGAGTCCAGGGCAGATCGATGGTCTCCGGCTTCCCGAGCTTCCGGGGGTCTCCTCCGGGCGCTGCACGGGGGTGCGCCCCCAGCCCCGCCAGCCCAGAGCGCGGCGGCGCTCCTTCCTTCCCGCGGGGTCCCCGGCTCCTGCCTGGGAAGGATCTGCAACCGGAGCGCCCGGCGGCTTCCCCGCGCTGCACCCGGTGTGCCGGGAAGGGTCGGTTGGGGAAGCAATTGCAGCTTTTCTTCCTCTTCTTGGATGCGCTCCTTTCCCCCTCGGAGGGAGCGGGACGGGTGTTTCGGGTGGAAGGGGAGGGCCGGCGGTGCCCGAGGCCAGCCCCGCGCTCAGCACGCCCGCATCGCCCCGCGGCGGCGTGAAGACTGACTTACGTGGCCGGGACCTCGGAGCTAGCGGGCCGGCGGGGGTGCGCCCGGGTGCGCGCGCGCCTCGCTCGCGCCCGGTCTCCCCATTCAATGTCACCGACACATTTCCCCCGAGGCCCCGCCCATTCTCCGCGGGCTCCCCTCATTGGATCATTCTGGAGCCGGCCCCGCCCCTCCATTCTCGGGCTCTCCTCATTGGCTTCTCCTGGATCCGGCCACGCCTCTCCCCGCGCGGGCTCTCCTCATTGGGCCGCGGGCCCGTCCATCCAGATGGAGGCGGCCAGTCCCCGGGTGGCTCCAGCGCCCTCGGGCGGCGTGGGGCGGGGGCTGCCGCTGCCTCTGCAGCTCGGGGGTCGGGCCCGGGCGCGCGGGCGCTGGCCCCTGGCTCCCGGGCTCGGTCCCGGCTCCATCAACAAAGTGCAATATCCTTCCGCGGCTCCAGGGCTGGGGGTGAACGCACTGGCCTCCGAGAGGATCCATCCATCCGGGCGGCGCCTTGACTACCCGCGGGTGTCCCTCTGCCCCCCCCCCCCCTGCGGTGCCCAGTGTGCTTCATGCCTAATTCACCTTCCTGGCGCTTTTCCCAGAAAGCCAGGCGTCCTCCGAGCATCAGGCCACCGCCGCTGCTGCTCTGGGACGGTGCTCTGAGCCGGAGCCCTCCTCTGCTGGTGAAGAATGTGTTTACCTGGGAGCTGCAGGAGGTTGCAGAAATCAGTTTCCTTATCTTTATTTAAAAACCCTCCTACCCATTTGTAAATAAACTGGTTCCTTACTTTGAGCTGGTGTCACCCTCCTGCCGCCCCGCCCCAGGCCCAGGGCTCTGAGTCTTTCCAGCAGACCTGCTGCAGGCCCCTTTACACGCAGACCACATGGAATCATGACTTCTTCCCCTTCCACAGCAGTGCGCCCAGTGACACAGAGCACCCCATCCCCACACCTCCAGGAAGTGGCCCCTGGCTTCCAGCCTGAGTGCTGGGCTGCAGGGTCCTCCTAGTACACCTCACCCCGACACACACACGTCAACCTCAAATGCATTCAACACGGAGAGTCCAGCAGAGCTGCTGTCTTGTGCTCCCCACCCCCCACACCACCAATCATTCTCACCTTCCTCCGGAGGTTCCAGCTCCCTGGTTTGGACACACCAGGTAAAGGGGCAGACTCGCAGAGGCTTCAAGCTCCAGGCCTTCACATACATGCCGCATCCCTGTAAATCAGACACAGCCTGACTGGGGGCAAACTACAGGCAAATGGAAACAACCAGGCACTGGGAGAGGGGGTTGGGAAGACTCTGCTATCTCTGAGCTGTTACCTGCATACACGCCTTTTTCTATTGGGGGGGAAGGGAGGAGGCATATAATGTCTTGCCCATATTAGGCCACTTTTGACTAAAAGGAAGAGCTATTTATAATGATGCCCACTCCTGTCTATTTATAACGTATTATTTTGCACAACTGTGGACTCTAGTGATACGGGGCTCCCGGGAAGTTGGCCAGAGAGGACACAGCAGGACAGCGTTTGAGAAGGTCAAGCAGTGGTCCTACCTCCTGGCACCTATCATCCCACTGCTGACAGGCCTGCCGAGGACCCTGAGAATGCTCACCAGAACACCTTAATCAGGTCTTCCTCCATTAAGACATTAAGACACCTGTGTTCATGTTGGTCTCAAGAGCAGACCTAAGGCAGCTCTACTAGTGGGGGTAAAAAAGGCCCAGCCCTCCTCTGCTCAGGACCACCAGTATTGCTTTATAACTCGGATTAGGAGACCTGGTTCCAACCCTGGCTGTGTCCCCAGTTTTATTTTTTAAAATGTATTTTTACTGATTTTAGAGAGGAAGGAAGAGAGAGAAACATCAAGGATGAGAGAGAATCATCGATTGGCTTCCTCCTGCACATGGGGATCAAGCCCAACACCCAGGCACAAGCCCTTGACTGGAATCAAATCTGGGTCGCTTCAGTCTGCAGGCTGATGTTCTCTCAACTGAGCCGAACCTGCTAGGACTGCATCCCCAATTTTAAATGGAAATTGAGTCAACACATGCTTCCCCCCTCCTTGGGTCTCCATGTCTTCAACCATCAAATGAAAAGTCTAACAGCCTCCCTGCTCAGCTCATAGAATTCTGCTTCAGAATTCTACTTTGCAGTCCAGGAAGTCTATGCAGGCTTACTCTCAGCCATGGCCTGTGTTAGGGACCCACGTATGAGCAAGATTCAGTCTCTGCCACCCAAGGGCTCAGGCTAGTCAAAGAGAAAATCAAGAAGTGCTGAATCTCATTGTGTAATCATGGGGCAATTAGAACTTTAAGGCGTCTGGGGAACAGAGGGACAGAAACAACTTTTCTAGGACTTCAGAGCATTTTCCCAGAAAGTTTTTTTGTCTTTTTTTTTATTATTATCTTGAATTAAAACATATCTATTGAAACCTTCTGTGTCCCAGGGTATACGGGTGCATAACGAGATATACTCTGGGTATAGAAATACAGTGCTTTTAAAAATATATTTGTCTTTGTGGATCTTGGAAAAATTCTATGAGTCATAACCTAAGATGAATAAGAGATTGTCACTGGCATTTCAGGCAGAGGGAAAGAATGTGCAGAAGCGAAGTGGTGGGATGTTCCAGAATTTCTAGTAACTCACAATGTCCCCAGCACTGGCCACTGGGAACAACAGCAGACATGTGCTGGCAAAGTGCATTGGGATGAGAATGGGGAGGGCTTGGTAGGTCAGCGAGAGACCAGGGTCTTAGTAGGAGAGGAGAAACAGAGTCAAGGCTGATGTGAAATCGGGAAGTGACATTGTTGGAATGAGGTTTTAGAAAGGTCACACGGGGAGGTCATCTGCAATAAACACCAGTTGGCGTCCAGGGAAAAGGAGAGAGCACGGGAGCCAGAGAGATGAAGAACATTGGAAATGGTTAGTGATGTGCAACTGATGCTATGGATGATGGATTGTGTATGTGTTACTACTGCTGAGATGATACAGGGGGCCACTGACCGGCCCATTCTCAGCTATTGCAGTGCAGGATACGTGAGACACTGTATGCCTGGGCCTCAATCTTTATGTGATTGACAGTAATTTTCAGGTTGGGACGTAAAACGACCATGTAGTAGGACAATCTGGGGGGTGGTCTTTATTTGTTGACTTTTTACCTATATGACCTTAGATTAATTTAAAGTATCTTAATTATAAAGTGGAATTATAATCTAAATTTTACCTAACGTAAAAATTATGGAAGAAGTGTATAAAGCAGCTAGCACAATATCTTACACATTGTAAATAGATATTATAATCATTATAATTATTATTACCTAGAGGCCTGGTGCATGGAATTCATACACTAGGGGGGGGAGGTGTCCCTTAGCCCAGCCTGCACCTTCTCCAATCTGGGACGCCTCGGGGAATGTCTGACTGCTGGTTTAGGCCCAATCCCCAGTCAGGCCTAAACTGGCAGTCAGACATCCCTCTCATAATCCGGGTCTGCTGGCCCCCAACCACTCTCCTTCCTGCCGGCCTGATCACCTCCTAACCATTCCCCTGCCAGCCTGATCAATGCCTATTTGTTCCCCTGCCAGCTTGATTGGCCCCAACTTCCCTCCTCTGCCAGCCCGGTCACCCCTAACTGCCCTTCCCGGCAGGCCTTGTCCCTCCCAACTGCCCTCCCAGCTGGCCTGGTCTCCCACAACTACCCTCCTCTGCTGGCCATCTTTGACCACATGGGGGCGGCCATCTTGTGTGAGGGCATGAGGGTCAATTTGCATATCACCTCTTTATTATATAGAATTGTTATTATTGGAATACATCCACAGAAAACAATCCAACATTTAATAAAAATACGAATAATAGCCGAAACCAGTTTGGCTCAGTGGATAGAGCGTCAGCCTGCTGAAAGGTCCCAGGTTCAATTCCAGTCAAGGACATGTACTTTGGTTGTGGGCACATCCCAGTAGGAGGTGTGCTGGAGGCAGCTGATCGGTGTTTCTCTCTCATTGATGTTTCTAACTCTTTATCCCTCTCCCTTCCTTTTTGTAAAAAATCAATAAAATATATTTCTTTTAAAAATATGAATGATGGATAAGATGCTACATCATCAATCAAATATGTGGGAATTGTTGAACATAGTGTTGTAGAAATGGTTAAATGTAATAAGCTTTTATGATAAAATATGTGCTAATTAAAACTAGAATGATATAATTACAGGGAAACATTTAAACCAGTCTGCTCTGTATGACAGTCAATTCCAGTTGCCTGCTGTGAATGCTCTCAGATCATTCTCTATCCTGAAATACAGTTAGCTGCTCCTTCACTCACTTCATTGCTCATTAGTTCATTAATTCAGCAAACATACGGTGGGTGCCTGCCTATGGTGAAGCCCTGAGCTAAGCACCGTTTGTGGATCCAATAAAAGGTTTTTGAGAATGACTTCTAAGACCACCATATCACTTTAAGGCTGAAGTGTGCAGCATGAGGGATGCCATTCACCTTTCTTAACTCTCACAGAAAGCCATTCCTCGGCTCAGAAACCGAATGCCACCTCCTGGTGACGCACTGGCTGCTCATTCCCAGGGAGGTGTCTGGGAAGGACCCCTGGAGCTGGGCAGACCACATCCTTGTTGGCCATACAGGGAACCTTGAGCATAGACACACTGGACTGAGGTCAAGAACTACCCAACGATTTCATCTCTCGCTCTTCCTGGTCACACACCCTGTAGCCACTCCCATCCTGTGGACTTCAGTGCCCACCTCTCCCTCCATGGACATCGTCCGTAACCCTGATACCTTTCTCATTTCTGAAATGAGAGCTCATGTTCAGAAACCCATTGTTTATCTACAAGGTGATTCCTAGAACCGCCCACTCCAAGGTGCTAGTTTGTTTGTTTGCTTCGCCATGGCTGGGTCAGGATGTGTTTCTCTATTTGGGTAAATGGCCCACGGGGACAAGTCCAGGATATAAATACAGAAGTGCCATGTGAGAACCATTTTTCCTCGGGCTCTGGTTTTGCAACTCTACTTTCTGCCATAGAAACAGAGCTATGGAGTGCTTGCTGATAAAGAAGGGAATCCAGGGGAAATCCTGTCTGTGCTCTTAAATCCGAGGAGG